ATAACTACGTCATCAGTGTCACGCAAGCTTCGTGGCTTAGATTAATCTAGAAATGACGAAGTCCAGAAATGTTATTATCATTTTTAAAATAAAGAGGAAATAACCAAATTAAAAATGAGGAATTAAGAGGCTATTATTAAATTTAAATTATAAAGCTAGTTTACGTAGTTTTTTCTTACATTTTATATTAGCAAAATCCAAAAAATGGAAAGTAGGACAATTTTTAGAATCTTGCGTCTTGGCTGCATAGATTTATTTTATAAGCAATATAACGAAACTTAAATAAATATAACTCCTGTGAAATCGTGCATATTTAGCCAAAATGTTAAATTTGATTAACAGTGCAACTTACGTACCTACTCCAATAAAGCTCAAAACAGAAAAATTTAATTAAGTTTTTAAATTATTGATAGCGATTAAAATAATTAAACTTAAAAGATAATGAAGAAGTTAAGTAAGTTAAGCAAAAGCAATCTCCTGTCAAGCAAGAGCTAGCAGTTAAAGCAAATACTAATTAAAATTACATTCAAAATGAGTAAAAATTTGAGTTAATTTTTAAAAATTGAATAAACAGTTTTTAGTTAGTTTTAGAAAAATGAACAACTGAAAAGTCAGTGAGATAATGCCGACTCATCAGGGGAAAATTAGCTTATCTCACCTTCCGTTCAATTGTTCAGATATCTTTATAGGAGTTATATTTATTTTAATTTCATTATATTGTTTATATATACACTTAGTACTGCGGATTGCAATTAGAAAGAGTGACGACTAGACGTTATACCACAACTAGACGTTATGCCTGTTCCGTATAAAAAATTTCAACATCTACGGCTAATCGTTTTTGAGTTATGTGAGATACAGACATATGTACATATGTACGTACAGACGTCGCGAAAAAAAATCCCTTTTGAATCCCTTTTAAATCCATTTTAGAATCCGTTTTGAAAAAAAGAGTCCCTTACTCTGTTTATACATATAGACGACACGCAAAAAAAAAATGGTCCAGATGGATTTAAATTGGATATACCTCTTGAAATATGATACTCGAAATTTTGCGCAATTGCAATACTTCCTTTACTTCGTACAAGGAAGAAAGAAGAATTTTGAAATATGAATTCAAAAATATGATGATGTGTAACTATGAGAATAGTACTGAAAGTATTCCACTTCAAATTATAAGGTATTTATCCCTTCTTTCCGTCTTGTCTTTGTGATGTAATTGGAAGCAAGTTCGGTTAGCAATCGGGAGTCCGACTGGCACTCGAAAAATCCATAGTTCGAACCCCGTCGAGGGCACTGCACAGCTTTTACTTCTCTTGCTTCGAAATAAAATCCCTAATGGTCTCCGCTGCCTAACTGGAGGTAAATAAATATTGCGAAACAACATCTTTTCATTTTTGTTGGGAAAATACCACTGAAACGAAAATTGATTCATCAACACTTAAGTGGAATTAACTGAGGCTAAAAATTTTTAAATAGTTATTATCGTTTCCCGAAATTCATTTTAGATTCTGAGAAAAAATGGGTCATATACCCAAAGTTCTCAACAGAAAATTTCTAAGCAGATATTTATAATAGGAACTGCATGGAAATATCCGAGACCTATGTTTCTATAAGCCTTCAGCAAATAATATGCTATGCATCATTTTAATGCTAATCGGTGCTAAAAATTCAATTTCTGGAATGCATATTCCACCATTTTTACCTCTCGCCAACCTATCTACATATTACTTAAGGAAGGTGTATGAGTGTATGACAATTATTATGACAATTTTTTTTTCTTTTTTCTTTTTTTTTTTTTTTTTGTCTACTATAACTCTTTTATAAAACCTTCAAAACTTTCCATTTTCGGTATTCACGCTTTCTACATTCATATAAATAGTTGATCAGATTTTACGGAAAAGTGGAAAATCGGCAATGATACTTTATATCATGTCAGGTTTTAATGAAAAACTGTATTAAAATTTCAGTTTTAATATTTAAGACTAGCATATCAACAGGATAAATAAATTAGATTTAAAAACTCATAAAACGGAATTAATACGTTACTTGAAGCTCTGTATAGGCTTTCGTAAGAAAATATATTACGATATATTCCAAAACTTGTACTCTGTAGCACTTCATTCATGCGAGCGAGAGATGCGCCGCATCAGCCAATCAACACAAGAGGCGCACATCAGGTGTTATGTTTTATGTCACAACTTCTCTCTCGCCTCAGAGTCTCTTTTGGCGAATGAGATCGGGAGAAGAAATAATGCTATATAATGCTTCCAGTACGAATCTCGTTTCTGAGTGTAAAATAAAATATATTTTTATATTAAAAGTGAGAAACCATTATTAAAGCCGTAAACGGAAGTGCCTTTATTACGGAGGCATTTAATGGGTGGGCCACCGTCGCCTCCTATAGAGGGTCGGACAGATTACATCGATGCATTCTCTGAGATTCGAACACGGACCCTTAAAAACAGCAGTCAGAAACACTAACCACTTTTCTCTCTGGACGCCTTAAAATATGTCAGTGTTGTAAGACTTGTGTAATATTTTTTTCCAATGGCGGGTATTAAATATTATAGACGTTAGCCACTAACTAAGGCCAGAAGCGGAGGTCACTTTGTTATGAAGGCATCCAATAAGTAGGCCACACTTGCCTCCTAAGAAAGGACAGGCAATTTACCGGACATTCCTTCTCCGGGACATTCCTTCCCTTCCTCTTCCGAACCAAACCCGGGCTCTTCGGTATGGCAGTCAGAATCACTAATCTGCGCGGCATGCTGCACATTACCAAAAAGTTCGCTTGTTACTCTCTTGCACCGCTCATGATGACTAGGCTAGAGCAAACAGCAAATTCAAAAACAGCTATTTCTTTACTTCGGATTGATACTGGAAAGCATCGTAGTCACTTTTCAGCTGTAATTCCAGAAAGTGAGGAGCATTGTTTTGTGATACCTAAATATCGTGGGCATTTACTTGCAGATCAAAATGAATTTATATTTTGTTGACACTATAGAAATAATATAGAAGAAAATTAAATTATGTTATCGGTTTCAAAGTATTTATTTTAAATATATTATAAACACTTAATGTTCTGCAGTTAAAATTAATCAAATTAAATGTAATTAGAAACATTATTTTTGGAAACAGCATTCTTAAATTTGTTTTTCTTTAAATGTAGCTTTCAAATTTTATTTCAATCAAAAACTTTTCATATATGTTCATGTATGTTCTTATATGAAGGATCCGAGGTTTGAAAGACTTATGAAAAAGTCAGTATTTGGAATTCAAGGCAACATAGTATTCTATTTTAGTTCTGTTGTATTTTCCTTTCTCCACATTTAAAATCACCACTTGTTATGTAAAGTGTTCTCTTTTTTTGATTACATATCAAATCAGATGGAAATACTGCATTTAGCTTTACTTAAAGTAAAAGAAGGAAAGATTCCTACTGGCCTTGATTGTGCATCAGTTATAAAGTGATGCTTGTTTCGAGTGCCAAGTAAAACTCAAATCTTGATAATTTTTAATTGAAGACGACGTATATTGTTGGTAAAAAATGAAAAATAAGTAAATAATTTAATGTAGCTTAAACTGTTTTAGATTTGAAAATTTTAGAAACTTTTACAAATATTATATCATCAAACATTACATCGGTTTAAGGGAGAGATGAAACAATCAGGTAAGTCGAAAATGTATATTTTGAAGATGACGTCAAAAATCTGTATGTGATCTATATGCATATCTATTATGCATAGGATCTATAGAAAAATAAAATATTTCAGCGAAAATGGCATTTCTAACAATTAAAACTAATAGATTGTTCAGTATTTAAAATAAAAGGGATCTCAATTAATTTTAAATAAATCATGAATTAGTTTATTATTAAGTTTATATAAATTGTCACTTGACCTATGTCTGCAGATCTGAAAAAAGATCGAGTATAAAAATCTGTATCTATAAATTTCAGAAGCAAAAACGGTTTTATTTTAATATATATATATATATATAAATAAATCTATATATATATTTTATACTTTTTCAAGTATGCTTAAATAATTCGGTTCATAAGCTTAATCAGAACCACCTGATTTATAGGACCCTGTATCAACAATGATGCTAGTTACTTTAGAATTTTCTGAATATGAAGTGAAAATTTTTTAATATTCGAGATTAGTTAATACTGAAAGCATATTGAAAATGATTTTATATTGGAAATTACGAGTAGGTTACGTTGGAAATATAGCTTAAAAGACTACGAACATACTTTTTCCTTTCTTGCTAGAATAAGTTATCCTAGTCGAGAGATATTATCCAGATCAGAACAGAAGTAAGGAAATGAAAACCAAACATTTTTATTGAATGAAATTCATTACATTCGAAAATTAAGTTTTCATTGATAAAGGAATTATTAAAAAACTTATCCCATTCTCACATAATTTCGATATCAGGTGATTGCAACGTGAAACGTGTCATCTCCCCCACTTAAGGATTTACTCGTAATTAAGGAAACGTTATTGGTTGTTAGATTTTCACTACATGAAGAAAGAAGTGATATAAGGGAATGAATTAAGACATATTCAGATAACTAGTATGAAGGCACATTTATTCTTAATTTGCACTGATATAATTCATCTTATATTTATTAACACTGATTAACTTGGAATAATTTTCAAAAGTCGATTTTACTTCACTGACCGAATTAAAAAATTATTTTTAAAATCCTTCATTACATATATTTTCTAGACTTAAAATTTTTACTTTCGTATTAAAAATTTTGGTAACGTCTATCTTTTCCTCATATATCAGAGGAAAAAATAAAAGAAATATGAATAATAATGTAACCACTTTGCATTAAATCTTTATGAATGTAGATTGCATCTAAGTAAATCAGTCCTTAAACAATAAAACAAATCTTAACAGTTTGATTTCTTAGATATTAGTGAAGTAGTTTGTAGAGAGTTATGAATATTGTCCAATATTTTTTTTCTTAAATGAATTTTTTTTAGATCTTGGTGATGCTACTTTTGGGACACAGCAGTGCTGCAGCAGTTATTGATAGCGTGGAAAATGGTTACGAAATGGTGATAAATCATGAGCCCTGGTGGGGCTATAGCATGAATGACGAAGAAATGGGATCCAGTTACAGATACTTCTATCCATTCTTCGACCACGAAGACGAACCAAACTCATTTCATTGGCATCAGCCTCCAATTGTTAAGCCTCCTTTGCCGCCCATGCCACCTATGCCACCAATGCCATCACCAGAAGCTACTCGTGAATGGCCATCTTGGCTACCACCTATTAGACTCATTAAACTACCTCTGGATGAACCCCCAGCAGATGAATGACGGCTTTTAGGAATCAATTGTAATTTGAAAGATACAGGACTCGTGAACTGATACCTTGTAATATAAATATTTAATTTATTGAAAAATAGTTTATGCTAGTGATAAGTGATATCCGAAAACTTTTCTCTTTAGTCTTTGTGTTACACTTCCTTACCTCGTTATTCGGAATGAATGTGTAATGGCATCAACACTTAAACTAACAATATTTGATTCTAAAACTTTGTGAATAAATATATAGTGCTAAATCATGGCATAGTTTCCGAAACAAGAGCAAAGAGGAGTGCAAGTGTCAGTTAATGGAAATGGGAGCGAAAATATATTAGTGCAGTTATTTATATAATTTTGGGGACTGAAATTCACTACAAAACAAAGACTTCTCTGTACATACATTAACATTATATAGATTTTCATTCATTTGAAAATCATAGATTATGCATATTGTGATGTTTAAACTGTACTTTAAGTTGACTGTAATTAAGATAACTAAACAAATGAATATATTAACGGAATTAAGGAATTACGAAATATATATGTTTGCCAATGGAATTACCAAAATCTTTTGTATTTTAATAGAATTATCTTATAGTGTAATTAATTAAATTAAGGTAATCATATGTATCAGGATTAAGGTGACCATATATATCGGTATAGAATTAATGGAATTAAGGTAATATGTATGGCTGTATTAAAGGAATTAAAGTAACGAAATGTTGATAAATCATTTCGTTACTTGGTTCTTGGCTCAATTTTTAAAATGAGTGAATGAAAACAATGACTTCTATAAGGGTAGGTTGTTCCACTTATGTTGTTCAGCTGTGCTGTCTTAGTGTAAAGAGACAGATTGAGGGTTCACTCGTCAAGTAACGAAGCTTAACTCTGCACTGGTAAAGACATCTAGATGAAATTACCCGAGTCTCGTCGTTCAATAGAAATTATTTAATTATTTGAAGAGCAGCCTTTGTTGGTTTTGATTATTCAAACGTACAGTAATGCATGCTCATGTAGAAAAGACCTTGAAATCGGATTCTAATACAACCCCATTAAAAACATTAACATTACACATTTCAAGTTAAAATGTTTAAGAAAAAGGAGAGAGAGCCAGGACTTTTTTAATTATAAATTATTGATTAATTTTGGAGATAATGGAATTTGTTTCAGTTGAAATATATTAACAATTTTTCTGGTATTACAAAATTAATAAAAATAAGAATAAAGATAGAGTTAAAATAGCCATTATTTTTTTTTTAACTTAGTTGATGATGAAATGGAATTGCTGAAGGGATAATCAAACTGGAGAAATACAGACGAAAGTGTACATACAAATAAACAATTTTAGAACTGCTTAATTCGTTTTAAAATCTCTCTTTTTCTCAAAAGTTAAATATTTAAGAAAATATTTAAATTTTCCTACATTGCTTAAATTGAGAAAGCGTACAAGGTTAAAAAAAAAGAGTTTCTTTCTTAACCCCAAAGGCCAAAATATAATACTAAACTGTAATACTGAGAATGATAAAAATTGATAATTGATTCTTTAGTATAATTTTTGTGATTAGTATAAAAAAGACAACCGATTACTTAAGATTTTAACTGCTAAAGAAATCTACTTTTGAATTTCCAGAATTCTTTTTGCAACTTAAATTTGTTCTAACTCAGTACAGTTGTAGAACAATGATTTAATCTTATTGAGCGTAAAAAAAACTTCTCTATGCTATTTTCAGCGCGCAGTAAATTTCGTTTTATTATTAGTAGTTATTTTTTAATATAAAATTGAGAGTCCTTTTTTGCTCTTGAATAAGCGAAAGGAAATATTCACAGTATAAACCAACATTTTGAAAATACTTTATTTATTGCAGATGCTTTAGAAACTGTACATCATTATGAAATATTCACATTACCACATTCTTCTTAAAACAGATTCCTTGTACTTTCATACCTGCAAAATAAATGCAGAAAACATTTAGCATTTATGAAAAAATATAACGAAATTCTTAAATTGTAATAGATAATTTTCCTCCATTCAGCACAAATTTGTATAACTCTTATAAAAAAGTTTATGTGAACATACTTGTTCATATGTTTTTGTATATCAAAATCTAAATAGTGATTTTACGCATTCGTAATTTATATAAACTAAATTTTTCTACAAGATAAAAATTAAGAAATACTATTCTTTTTTTTTATTCATTTTCTTACATCGTGTTTTCATATTTTAATTTTTAGATGGTTATTTAATTTTACGCACACTCGCATTCGTGTGCTGAAAATGCGCGCCTTCTTGTGTGCATAAAAACTACTTAAAAATTTCACGATACATGCATTCAAAAACATTTTTTGAGTAAATTGAAAAATATGGAAAATCCTTTGATGACTTCATAATAAAAATAGTAGAACCCCGTTTTCAAGTTCAAAGAACTGGGAAGTTCTGAAACAATACGTCTTATTGAGGGAGAAAACATATAAAAATGCAGCAGATTATTTATCTAGGGTGAGCAGTAGTAGAGTAAACAGCTTTAAATAAGTACAATATTAGTAGAGCGAGCAGCTTAAAAACCACAAAGAGCATCAGTTTAAAAAAGCTACAATTTTTACTTCCTTGTACGAAGTAGTGTAAACGTGAAAAATGTCGAAAGTCATATTTTAACGGAAATATCCATATTGACCGTTCCTGAATCCATTTGGATGATTATTTGCATGACTTCTGTACGTACAGACAGAATAAAGGACTCTTTTTTTTCAAAACAGATTGTAAAATGGATTCAAAGGGGATTTTTTGCGTGACATCTGTACGTGCGTGCGTGTGTATCTCGCAAAACTCAAAAATGATTAGCCGTAGAGCGTTGAAATTTTGTATATAGGACTGCTAGTTGTGCACCTCCCTCTTTTAATGCAACCTACAGTACCAAACATATATAAGTGTATATACCCACCCCTTACCCGGCTTAAAAGTCCTTACCCGGCCTTTATTAAGTTATATACTTCCAATTACAGAAGTGTCTTAAATGACGAAAATATTCATATTTTGGCAGTGTGCATTTTGAGAATAAATTAATTTTCGACAAATAAAGAAATTAACTTTTAAAGCGATCTCTCGGTTCCTGTACTTATATTTGGGAAAGTTTTATACTGGTTATGAAAAAAATATTAAATGTTTGACGCCCGTACGACAAAAATTGACCAGCATATTTAATTTCAAAATTTTCATATTTGATGTCATTTTAAACTTGCTTTGAAGGATCGGTTAAGTTAGAGTAATTCGAGGAAATAAGTTTAAAAGAAGTGCATCGAAAATGTGTATAATTTAATAGGCCATATAAGGAAGTCATGTGGTGTCCACATCAGATTTTTTTTACTGTGTATTATAAAAACTTTTATGTAAATCAATACTTTTGTTTTTGATAGAACTAATTTATTATAGCAGAAGCATCCTTAATTATACATAGAAATATTTGCAGTTCTAACAAATGTTGTGTAAAGGATTCACTAATCAATAGTTCCGTACAGATTGCAGATTGGTGTAATAATGGTTTTTACTAGAGAATTAACTGATATTACATCAATACAAAAGATAATTGTTTAATTTTCAACGGCTATATCAATTAAAAATTTCAATAAATTTTTCGAAGGTTTTTATCTTCCGATTATATGTGGAAAGAATGTCCTCATTGTAATCTATAACTATAATCCAATAATCAGATGGCAAGAGATAGATTAATCAACTGAAATTTAAAATGCTTACTTTTGAAAGTAATCAAAATTTAAAAATTTATTTTTTGTCTGTATACATTCGAAGTTTTCAAAACATATAATTTCGATTTATTCAAAAGCTGTCACGCTTGTGTTAAACACGTTACTTGATTAAAAATAGATCACTAGATGTGATTAATGTGTTTATTTTTGTCATTGACTAATGTATTGTTCTTAATTCACTCATTGTACACATTAAACATATTGTTGCTGTTCCCAAAAGAGTTGAGTAATGTGTTTTGGCTAAATGTTATTACGCAGCATTCTGTCAAATAAATGTTTTTCCTCTTCATAAATTGCTTAAAATAACCAACTTATTTAATTATGGAACTTATTTAAAAAACAGCAATGGAAAAGTAACACATGTTTTAAGAATTTACGAAAAGCACTTTTTTATCAATAATTACAACTCAGCTTAAGGACTCATTCACAGTATTATACGTACTAAGATGAAACTGTTTTTCCACATACAGCTTCACTAATGACTCAGTGATGTCCAAGACCTAATCCCAGACCGTGTCCGTAACCCAAACCATGTCCGTATCCCAGGCCATGTCCATATCCTAATCCAACACCATGTCCATAGCCTAATCCTGCACCATGTCCATAGCCTAATCCAACGCCATGTCCTAATCCTGCACCATGTCCTAATCCAACACCATGTCCATATCCTAATCCATGTCCTAATCCGAGGCCGCCCAGTCCAGCATAACTTTTTCCGTAACCAAGTCCTGCTCCATGTCCAAGTCCATATCCGTAGTGTCTAACATCGTACCTTGAGCTTACACCGTGACCACCATATCCATGTCCGTATCCGTAGTGTCCAGGTTTATGATGAATGACCAGAGCCCCATGAGGCTCAGCCAGAGCTACAGTGCATGCAGCGAAGAAGACGAACACTGCAATCTGTGAGTAAAAAAATTCAGTCAATAATAGATAATTAATAGAAATCTTTTCCATAGCATGTTAAAGGAAATAATTACTTACAAATGTTAAGGTATTAAAGTTACGTTTGCATTATAAAAGGTCCTAAGCTTATGGGAGACAGGAAACATCATTCTGCAAGATCTGCTGACAACAGATTCGAAAGCTGATGATTCACATTCTTGTATTATTTTATTATTTAACATGGAAGCGACTACTTTAGAACATGATTAATAATTAACGCTGAAATCACCAATTGAATTGATTCAAGTACTTGAGACTAAAAGATGTTATTAATTAAACAAGCGGTTATGATAAATAATTTATCTCAATTTTGCTACAGAAAGTATGTGAATAAAAGTATAAATAAGGAAAACAATTTAGCTTATAAAGCAAAAAAGAAGTTAAATAATTTGCTTCGAGGGAAATCAGATAAAATAGAAAAGCTGCAATTTAGAATATGAGATAAAATTGTGTAAGAAATTCCGTATTGTACAGAATTCCGTATTGTATTTATTATAACTGCAAAAATTAAAAGGAGCGACTGCTGTTTACAAACCCATCTTTTGTCAGAATCAAATGTCAATGTATATGAATTTAAGCAGTGCGCTAAAATCATTAAAAGAAGGAAAATTATATGATAGCCACTTAAAAGAATCGCATGCAGAAATGTGACTTTTCATTAATAAAAGTTTGCTATTAACACTTAAGGGGTTCGATATATTTCTCATAAAGCAGAATTCCCTTAAAGTATTCCTTAATAATTGCTTTCCATTGGAATGAACAGAAATGATAAATTTTGCTACTGCATTTTAGAACGAAAAACGTAACGCACTATAGTAAACAAATACTTGAAGAAGAAGACTAAACATATTTAGCTGTAGCACAGCTTTTACACTAAAAGACACGGTAGACAGTATAAAGCACGTGTGAGTATTTTTTTATGCCTGGAGAGAATAAAATATCAAAAAATCTTTAATTTAACTTAATATAAGAAAACAATTTTATCAGAATTTAATTTATCTTCTTCTAATAGAAATAAATTTTATGCTTAAAAAAACTGGAAGGTTTCGAATTTTAAAGGTCACTGAAAAGTGTTTGTTAAGGTTTTTTACGCTCTCGTTGAACTCGCAGTCTACCAGTCTGCTGTTGAATTCACTCCTGTTAATGCCTTTTTTGCTTTTTTTTCCCCCCTCTATTTTAACTTTATTACTTAGCATCGTTTCCCACCATACACAATTCAAACCGCGAAAATTTTAAAAGTGGCATTCGGCAATAATTCTCATTTAAATATTCGCTTACTAATATTATTATGTCACAGAGGGAGTATTTTTCATTTCTCTCCTTTTATTTTGAAGTTGCGAACTGAACTAGCTACGTCTAGTTCTCGAAGATGTAAACGTATCTATGGTAAGCTTGACTAAATAGTTTAAGTAAAAGATACATGAAATCCAAATAATGTAGTATTACTACAAAATCAATCAGAGAGAGAAAAAATTACTTACGTGTCTTCAAGTTACTCATGGAGTTAAAAGCATGAATGAGTAATCACTGAATAGGGAGAAAACCGCAATTAACTAATTTGTTTCAAAACGTGTGTCATTAGCCAAATCTTAATGGGATACGCAATGCGTTTCGAAACGAATGACATTGAGATTTTTCGATGAAAAAAATTTAGTTAAGCAATGAATAGAGAAAACGGTCAGCAATTTTTTTCAAAGAAAGTAGTTGTATTGTATCAGACAATGCCCTGATAATTAGCAACCTAGAAATTTATTAATAAAAGAAGGAACAGTTTTTGTTTCAAAATCTTAATGCGGCTTTACGTAAGAACTGTTTTTTTAAATAAGATAATTTCTTTTTCATATCGAAACACAAATGTAAATGAAGATGTAGAAGCATTCTAGAAGACATTTGAAACAATTCTGTAACTTTACAACAGCATTTGACGATGTATTTTTAATTTATATATCATACATTTATATCACGTAATTAAAAAGGAAACAAAATATACTGTTACGAATTTGGTATTTAAAAAGCTAATGTTAGTTCAATTAGAAATTAAATGGTTTTATTTCTCGCGCAGTGCAGCGCGTGACGAATATTAAAAGAAAGCTAAGCCGGAAAATTGAAAATACAAGAGCGCGTGCATTAAATAAATAAATATCTCTTTTTGATTTCGAGAAAGTACTGGAAAATTGGAAATTCTAGCGCGTGATTTTAAAATCTTATAAAAGGAGGAAAACATCTCAGTTTGTAGTAGTTGCTTAGTTTGTTGTTGTTTAGAAAACTACTGTTGTTGATTGTAGCGAATTCGCGGATTAGCGTTCTTTAGCTGTTTTGAATTACGTTCTATTGACATTTGAGTAGTTAAAAGAAAACTACTGTGAGATATTGTAATACTGCATGATAATTTGAGAAAATTTAAGCATTTTTGTTGTGATAATAATAAATTTTTGTTCATTTTTCATCGGACTTGTGCATTCATTTAGTAACTAATCCGTACGCATGCAACAATTTTTGGTGTCAGAAGTGGGATTTGAATGCCAATAACAAGAGCGATGGAAGAGCGTTAAGGCAATTGATAACAGCCTTTGCCTCGTTTTAAAGAAGAAATGAAAGAAGAGATGAAATCTAGCCAGGAAAGATGGAAGGGGCCGTCAACTCTGTTAAGGACGAAATGAAAAGCCGTTCAAGCTGGTCAAGAAAAGATTGAAGCAGGTCAAGAAGAAATGAAAAGAGAGATTACCTGCATAATAGGAAATAATTTGAAGCTATGGAAGGCAGAATTGACACAGTTGAAATAAAGTTGGACTAATTGAAGAAAGAGTCAAAAAAGAAGAAAGAGTTTCTTCGGTGAAAGAAGAAGAATAGAGAGAAAGAGTTTCTTCTGTAAAAAAGACCATATAGAAGGAGAGTTTTGCTGTCGAGGAACGAATTGAAGGAAGAGTTTGTGCCGTTCCAAACCAAATCGAACAACATTGATGAGAGAGTTTCTGAAGTAGCCAAAGAAATGGAAACGTTAAGAAATTCGTAGCGACGGGGGGAGGAATGATGATTTTAAATTCTTACCTGCTCCGTCCACCTCTGAAGCTATCCACTATGATGGGAAGACATCCTGGCAAGTGTATAAAGACACAATTTTCTATCGTTGCGGATGCGAATGGATGGGATTCCCAAAGCTAAGGCCTGTCATCTCGCCGCTTCTCTGCGAGCAGACGCAGCGGATATCCTGCAGCAGACGCTTCCCGAAAAACCAAAGACTTGACTTCGAAGCTCTATCCGGCGCATTGGAGCTGCGCTTTGGCGAGAAATGTTTAAAAGACTACAGCAGGCTCCAATTAAAATCTCGTCAACAGAAGCTCACCGAAACGCTCCAGGAGCTCGCCACGGATGTTGAAAGGCTGTCACACCACGCCTTTTCGGAGTGCCCGACAGAAACGAGGGAAATCCTGTCCCTGCAATATTTCATCGATGGCATCCGGGACCCTGAAATACAGAAGGCACTGCGAATGGCGGATGTTAAAGATCTGAAAAGCGCTTTAGTGTATGCCATGAAATTTGAGGCAGCCCAGCAAGCAACTCTTAGGGATAGCTACCCAGTCAGAGCTGTGCGAGTCCACGACCCAGGGGACCAATTGATGGCTCGTTTTAGATGATTTATCCAGACAAGTCGATGCTTTGATACGTAGCAGTGAGAACAAAGTGGCTGTAAGATGCTGGAGATGTGGTTCTGAAGGTCCCTACGACGGCATTGCAGAACACCCCAGGGCCATGGATAATAAACCGATGATTGACAGACCAGTGAATGCTTTAAGACGGAATAGTTGGTGAAACAAAAACCGACCCTAAAGTGCTGGAATGCGGTGTTGAAGGCACCTACAGGAACTGCAGAACTCCCCCAGAGCACGAAATAAGGCATCCGATTTAAACAGACAATTAAATGCCACGGAAGGAAAAGGACTGACAAGAAACCAAAGTGCTGGAAACTGTGAGCTGAAGGCCACGTACGAAAGAATTGCAGAACACCCCAGGGTACAAAAATTGAGACAATTTCTGAGCAACGACGCAGGAAACAAATTAATGACCTATCAAGGAAACGGAGGTTTGCCAGATAATGAAAAACCCTGTTTAAAGCGCTAAGATCTCTATAGTGAGTGGCAACAATAACGGACTGTCCATCAATGGAATATCGATGGAGTTCCTTGCAAATTGATCATTGACACAGGAGCTAATGTTACCATCATTAGGAAAGATTTAGCTGAACATTTAAAGATAAACTTATTTGGACGCCATCCTGTGTTACCCTTCAGACTGCGTCTGGTGACAAGATCGACATAACTGGGAAGTTTAAACGTAAACATCCGTTTGGAAGTGCCGCCCTACCATCACACGGCATATGTGACGGATATTACAGATCCATGCATACTCGGATTGGACTTTTTAAGGAAATACAATTTTTCCTTAGATTTCAAAAACATAAGCTGCATTCAGCATCTGATGGCATGACTATCCATCCTCAAAAGGGATCCTCGCCTGGAAATGTCGACGCCTTGTCCGAAAGATCGACCTCGGGAAGCTGCCGAAATCATACCAGGGTCGAAAAGAAGAAAACTCAAGACTACCCAGCTATTCTCCATCCCAGAAGCTCTTCGGCGAGACCTTCGTCTGCCTTGTGACCGCCTGTTTAGTCGCCCTACGGATGCGCCTTCATCGCCTGAGGAACACATCCAGATGCCCGGCCCGGTTTGAGGGGATGCACGTCTGCACGAAAGCGAGTCAACTTGGCGACGGAGAAAATGAAGATCAGATGCGACACAAGAGCTACTAGATAGAGATCCAACAAAGGAGACAAGGTGTGGTTGTGGAACCCATTCAACGAAAAGGACTGAGTCCTAAATTACAGTCACCTTCGGATGGTCCATATACAGTGCTGAACGAATGACGTCGTGGTTCGGATCCGTGAGTCTTCGAACTCTTACGACAGTTTAGCTATTACTATGCCTAGTACATATGTAAATAATTGTAAATAGTATAAGACCATGGTCCATTTTTGTTTTTAAATGGTATTTGATTTGTATTTGATACATTTGATTTGTTTTATGTTTTGCATTTATTGTTCATGTTGTTTTATTTTGTAATGTAATGCTTTTTAATGCATTTATGCCACAGTTGTAAGTTTTGCTTCCTGTCCAGGGATTGTACTGCCCGGAACGTGCAGTCCTTGGAAGGGGGCAGTGTTACGAATTTGGTATTTAAAAAGCTAATGTTAGTTCAATTAGAAATTAAATGGTTTTATTCTCGCGCAGTGCAGCGCGTGACGAATATAAAAGAAAAGCTGAATTGAAAATACAAGAGCGCGTGCATTAAATAATAAATATCTCTTTTTGATTTCGAGAAAGTACTGGAAAATTCTTAGCGCGTGATTTTAAAAATCTTATAAAAGGAGGAAAACATCTCAGTTTGTAGTAGTTTGCTTAGTTTGTGTTTTTAGAAAACTACTGTTGTTGATTGTAGCGAATTCGCGGATTAGCGTTCTTAGCTGTTTGAATTACGTTCTATTGACAATTTGAGTAGTTAAAAGAAAACTACTGTGAGATATTGTAATACTGCATGATAATTTGAGAAATTTAAGCATTTTTTTGTTGTGATATAATAATTTTTGTTCATTTTTCATCGGACTTGTGCATTCATTTAGTAACGAATCCGTACGCACGCAACAATACTTTTATGAGTTTTAAATTGTGAAATATGGTATATTTAGTTGGAAACGTAAACTGAAAGTTTGATGATTAACAGAATAGGCAGAGTGAAGTAAAATAATTCGAAAACTTTCTTAATAATTAACTCACCTTAAAATAAGTGCATAATATAAAAAAAAATAAGAAAGGAGAAAACTCGTTATTTACAATTTCTGCTTCATTGATTTCGGATGTTAGTTACTATAAATGCGAGATGCTACAACTTTTCAAGGTAAAAAGCATCCTTTATTTGTAGTTTCCCATTTACATAGCGTGCTGTATACTTGCACAGGATGAAGATATAAATTTATTCTCATATAAAACATAATTGATCTGAAAGAAGTATGTTTCCTTTCGTGTGAAGATCGGAGGAAAATATACAAAAAAAAGTTTAAAAATCAGCTTGTAATAAAGAATTTAAATGATTTTTAGTGTTTAACTTTTCTTATCAATTATATAAAAAATAAAGTCATGTAAAATAAAGGAATGTCTTCTTAACCGTTTCTTTCCTTTGCGTCAGCTAAGATTAAGGCCTAAGATGCTCATGTTTTGTTGGCGAGTTAAAGTAACAAGAATCAGTGTAATATTCATAAATTTGCAGGTCTAGTTTCGAAAATTAAATGTAGAACCGTCTTCTTCAAGTGCAGAGGTGAAAATGGAAGCCTGTGCTCACGATTTATATTATTCAAAATCATCTTCTGTTAGAAAATTAGATTTTCTGGAGGTGTTTCACATGCATAAAAACTTTTTATTCTAATTAACGTTCTCAGTTCCACTTCGCCTTTAGCCTTAGCTTTTAAAGCAATTATTTCATTGTAGTTTTCATATTTAATCAATAGATGGCTCCACTAGCTTCACTTATTTCCTGTCATTCTTATATCCTGAACACAGGCTTCTCTTTCATCATTTGCACTGCTGCAGCTGAAGGAGATTGTTCTATATTTAAACTTTCGAAATTAATCCTGTAAATTTATGAATATTACTCTGATTCTTGCTGCCTCAACTCCTTCGATAATCGTTATTCGGAGTATTAACACAAATTCTCGTGCTCATTTCGTACAATTTTATTTGAAAGACTTACCTTTACTTTAAAAGAGCCATTCGACGGAAGGGCGTGTAAAATTTCAGTATAATAAATGTTGCAGATTCTTCTTGGATATTCAAGCATTTAAATTTCAATTAAATTCCTTTTGAACGATCTAATTGTTACTTTTATCTTAAAATTTCATCTAATTTCCAGAAAATTGCTATTTTTTTCTTTGAATAAAACAATTATTTTTTTCTTTTCAAAAGGTGTTACAGTTATTTATTTGTTATAATGTTAATTCTGCACTATGCTTAGACATTTATTAGTTAAATCTAAAAACATCGTGAATGAAAAAGAAACATGAATAGTAAAAAATTATTTGAAAAACTTTGCTGCTGTCTATTGCAAATGTTCGAATTACATTAAAGTTAGTCCTCAAATATAAGATGCAAATCATACAGTATTTTATTAAAATACGTTCTGAGAAAATATATTTTTTACATTTATTTGTTACATTATAATTTAAGAAACGAAAAACTTCACCCTGCTACAGAAACTTAATCCTTGTTGGTTATTTAAAATTACAGAGATATGTAATTAGTCTTATAATTAACATGATAAAAATTAATTTGCAAAGTTTGTTCTTCTAAGCTTGCCCCCTAAAAGTACATATTTGAGAAAAGAGGTTTAGCTGCGTCTTAAGTTCTGACAGATAGAGAAGAAAAACGTTTTTAAATAACATTTTATTCATTAAACCAGAAATAAAAAAATAAACACTTAGTTTGCGGAACACCTTTCAGAATTTCCAGAAATTTTAACTATCGTAAATGATGTGTTAATCTAAAAAAATATACCTTGTGATTATTTCTGTGCAATAAACAAATGATAAAATATTGAATCTCAGCAACGCCAGATGCAGAGGTTTTTCTGCTTATTATATTCGTCATAATATTTCCTAAAAACACATTCTGCTTATTTCAGGATTTTGCTTCTACTTCTGTTGGGAAGGAGATCTGAAATTTTTCTCTCCGCAAATATTATGCTGTGAGCACCGAGCTACCAAAACTACTGTTTAAACAATTTTATTTTCTCAAACAGGTAGAGCTTTTGCTCCCAGAAAAGTGATATGTATAAATTGCTAATTGGCTAACTAACTAATTTATCTGGTATATTATAAACAACTAAGATCTTGTAGTTGCTTTCGTAATAAAGAGGATAAAATCTTTTCAAAATAAAATAATTTCTAAAAGTTAAAGTAGCGACATTAAAGTTATTCATAAAATTGAAGGTTAACAGTCAAAAAGTATTAATTACAAAACATTGATTCCTTTAGGGTAAAAATGTGTTGCTTAAGCATAAAATTGTAATTCTTTGACATTTACGCATAGCGTCTAATATAACTAAAAACTAAGTTTACATTCGAAAACAGTTAATTATAAAGAAGTAATGTAATTTTAGAACTCAGTCCTAATTAATTGATTTGGGAATAGATGTTATAGTCTTTTATAATTCAAAAAAATCATTTGCAGGAAAATTTTAAAATTTGCATTACGATTTTGTTTATTAAATTACTATAAACCAGGAGTTCTCAATCAAGGAAAAATTCTATAGCTTCAGGAGAGATGCGGTTAGCTTCACTTCACCAGTTTTCTGCTGTGTCGTTAAGAAACTCCCAAAATGAATGATGAAAGGAGTGCATGGGGCAAAAATAGTTAAGAAGCACTGCTCTAAATATAGAGTATAATATATAAATTATGAAATAATTTTCTTATTTTACATTATTTTTTAATTATGAGCTTAATATTAATAGAAATATTTAAAATTAAACAATACGAAGCCTCCTTATTCCAATATTTAAAAAAATACGGCAAACATTTCTCAAGAACTTATCAAAATGGAACTTCACTTCTTGACTACGCATACTCATTCCAATACATGAAATCACTTTTCGAAGACCAAATTTCTTCTGCTTAGTAAAATTCGAGATTGAAACCTTCTTGAAATCCGTTGCAATATAAATACTAATAAAACGGTAAAAAGAGAGGAAATACGAGTATTACATCATAAAATAAACTCAGTCCATTTCAAAATGCATAAATATAAATTAAATTGGATTAATTAAGTATTTGCCAAATTAATACCGTGATCATAATACTGCGAATCCTCTCTAAACATACTCTCTAATCTTCCTCGTATCCAGATGATTTTGACCTTCCGAGGAAGAGCTAAACATCAATAGGGATGTTTAGTTATATTTCCAAACACACTAGTCATTTATAGAGCTAGTCGTGACGAAAGGGCTCACTGTAATGGATTTTCATAATATCCAAATTTGAGGTGCTAAAATATAGTTCAGCACAGTTTAAGGAAAAATTTAAAATCTGAAAAATAAAATAGAAGTTACCATTTGAGCGTGCATTGCTTTCTGCTATTCCAACAACAAGCTTCAAAGCAAAAGGTCTGAGGAGAACTAAAAGTGATAATACTCCACTTACGCTATCGACCTGGCTTATATATACAGCATTGTCTTATCTCCCAAACAATTGAGATTTAGAAAAGAAAAGAAAAAAAAAATTCAAACTAGACCCTCTTGTGAAGGCAAAAACAAACAATAAGGAACACAAAATTCATTTAACATATTGCACCACTTTCACCAATGGTAGCCCAGGTAGTATCAACAACTGAAGGTTAAGAAGGTGTGGTGCCTTTGTTAGCTTTCAGTTTCACAAAAAGAAATAAAAAACATAAGAACTGAAATTTGGGACACAAACCTCCTGTAAATTAATGGAGGAATAGATTCCTTTGTTAGTGCTAAACCAATGCAATGTTAAAGAATCTTGGTACAAGAAATCCGATGAACCAGAACGTACCTGTTCGGAATCATTGCATATATCTGTTATGGCAATCTAGGGCTTCACGAGCAACTTCAACATAAAATTAAGATTTTGATCTATTGTTCAGCTGTTTCAGCTCGCTTTCAATGGTTGTAACAGTTCAAGATCCATAACGATTACGCTAAACTTCATTGTTCTGTGAAAAATGCTGTTCGAGGGCGGGGAGTGGACAATCAGTAGGGGGTTCCTTAGTGTTGCACAAGCAATAAAATAATAGTTGGGTAATTGATACTAGATGGTCAAATTTCGTGTCCTTTGAAGTTCAATGTAATTGTCGCGTGCAGGAAGTTGTCGTGATTACTTTCGTTTTGTTCTGGCGGCGTTAATTGACACATTTTTGGCATTTTTACATTCATGTGATATAAGTTAATATTGCCGTAAAGCGAGTGGAAATCGGGTTATTAGCTCGAAACAAGGGGAGGGGGTAATATATAAACTATATTTCAATGCCTTTATTTTTCTTTTTGTTTAGATTTCCAATCTATTAATTGTAAATTTAAAAATTTCGAACTTAAACTGTTTTTAAATAATTATTAAAGTTTTTTTTAAAGTAGTAGTTCGAAATTTATAATTTTTTAGTATTCGTAAATTATCAGTAACGCACATATGTGTGGAATTCCAGAAGCTATTAAGAACAGAACACTGCTTAGCTTTGTTCATTTTGGTTTCTGCAAAGCATACGAAGGTTATTTGTGTAACAGAAGTAATATCTTCATTAGAAGACAAGTAAAAGTCATAGAAGACAAGACAAGTAAAACTCGTTACATGTGAAAATCTACACATGTGAAAATCTACAAAAACTTCCATACGGCCAGCCGATTAGCGGGACTCGAATCGGAGTAGAATTATCAACGTTCAGTTGTCTTATTCACTCCGTAATTGGTGGTTTGGAGTTATTTATGATATATCTGGAAAAGGTTGGTACACGTTTTATTTTTTAATGTGCTGAGCTAGGCCAGAAATAGTTCCGAAATAAACAAAACTAAAGCGCATGATTGTGTAAACTGAAGCAAAGGATTTTATGAACACAGTAGCTCCGCTGAAAAGAAAAATTTGTAAAATTAAAAGCGAACATTATTTTTACATTTAAATAATTATAAGCTTTTAACTCTCTCAAAGCGTCTAACGCTAATTTCAAAACTCTGCCTTCGATTTTTAAACTATTATCTGATAAGTTATCGAGCTCAAGTTTTGCAGCCTTACACACTTGTGTGATGGAAATGCAGTGTGATAAACCGAGGTTTTTCAAAACTCAATTTAAAAGTTTTGTTAATTTAATATTAAAATGACTTTCCGCAATCGATTTTATCACTTACCTTTGCTTAAAGAAAAAAACTAGAAAATCTCAGAATTTTACTATTTGCATCATCAACCTTTCAAATTAAGTTTATGTGAAATTTTTAATATAATTGCTGGTTTCGTGGTGAATTTTCAAAAGTTAGTCAATTTTTTGACCATATAATATTTGTTATTTTAAAATTTCAATATCTAAGATATTTCTGTTAATTTTTTGAAATTTTCATAGATTATAAAATAAAATATGTATGTTAATTAAACAATCATTCTTTTAAAACAGAAATGATGAAAACATATTAACTGGAAGATTTTCTACATGTTCAAAGTTTATATTGCAGTATGAATTTAAGTAGAAGGAGAAGTTATAGTTCTTCCTTGGGCATCACATCATTTCAGTTGGCATTATATGTCACATCATTTTTCTTGTTTTTTTATAGATTTCGCTAATATTTACTTTATTTTTTTGTTAATTAATCTCCTTTCTTTTGCTAGAAGGAACTACAGGCAAAAAAGGTAAATTTACTGCATAAATCTTCAGTCATTTTATAAATGCTCTCTCCCATTCTTTTATAGCAATATTTTGCACTTACCGTTAATTTCATTTTATTAATCTCAAAATCAAAAGAGCTTAAGAGTTAACCAGCGTTTAGAATTATTTGCAACAAAATCTGCAAAGTCATTTTTAATTTTTTCCATTTTTGAAGTCATCTAGTACATTTTTCTCAACATTTCATTTTGAAAGCAGATTTTAAAATTTTATCAATATTAAAGTTTAACAATAAAATCTAATACTAATATTATATACTTTTATGGAACTTAAAAATTCTACATACACATTTGAAATTTTCATAAGTTATAAATCAAAATCTTCACCCTCTTTTAAAATAAGAATGATTAAAAAAAATGTTATACTTGAGAGACTTTTCATATATTTTTAAATAGCCACGTTCACGACCAACCATAGGACTGACAGGTAAAAGTCGCCAGATCGAATGCATGCTAGAAGTGGGGATTTAACTAAGATAAAAAATAATTCAAACATGTATTGTTCTTAACAGAGTAAAGTCACAGGAAGTATTTCAAATTCAGGATCTGGATAGCAGAAAGCTGACGGTATAAGAATGATAATGCGTTATCGAAAATATAGACACAGTGAGCATGAACTCCAAGATGGTATAAGGCTAAACACATCAGTTTGTTAATCAAAGATAATATGCAAAAATTTTAATGTAAAATAAGAAATAATATACTTTACTGTAAAGCTGTAAACAAAAATAGAATTGTTGCACTAAAGAGTAATTATTCATTATTGAAAATGATTTTTCAATTGAATAATTTGATTGATAAAGTTTAATTGAGACTAAAACGCGGAAATTTAGAATTAAAAAAAACATTTTTATAAAATAAACTTTTATTTTAAACTCATAAAATAATAAATTAACTAAAATAAGAAAACTAATGGGAATAAGATATTAAACAATTCTCTTTACAAAACTCGTCTACAATTTTATATCACGAATAAAAGAAGCGTGGGTACTTCAATTATGAAATTAATAATCGAATTTCCATGATTTTACGTAAATCTTATTTTAAAGAAATTTTATTATTATCGTTATTATTATTTTGTAATTTTTATGCTACTTTTCTTTAGAGATTCTGGAAAAATATGCTGCAAAATATTCCGATTTCAAAAACCCATGACAGAACTTTGAATTTTTTTAAAACGTTTTCTAAAATTCTGGAATGAGACAGAAAGATAATTCCAGAAATCGCCGAACAGTGTTAAAAGCAAAATTCAGTGCCAATTAAAACTTTGCAAGGGCGATCAGACACAGTTCCGTGATCATCATGAGCAGAAACATTTTAGGGTGTGATCGCTCTCGAAATTATAGAGTTTTACTAAAAATCTACTTAACGTAGGGTTTTTAATTTAAATTAAAAATTAAGTTGAACATTTTTTATTTCTTATAATATACTGTAGGTTAAGTAGGAAGAGATACACACTAATGTAAAACTCAGAAAAATAAAATTATTCTTAATTATTAAAACTAATAAATTTAAGAAATATGTAAAGAATATAGAAAAGAATATATGACAAAATCAATTTAAAATTAATCATCTAAATTGATTATGTTATTATTCCAAATATATGTCAAAATAAGGTTGCCGTTTTGCCTTGTTTTAAATATCGTAGGTTTTTCGACATATGTAAAGATTTTGACAATCAAATCAAATGATGTTTTCCCCAAAGGATTGGAGGAATCCAATAAAGCCATTCTTCAGATAATTTTGTTTGATATGTTATTTTCTTCTGCAGTCTTAAGCAATTCCGCTGATTTTCGAAAACTTTTAAATTTTTCGAATGAGAATTACTTCAAACACTTCAAGCCATTTTCATAAAAACCAGAGTCAATTATTCAAAACTTGTTTTTAAGGTCATTAACCTAATAAGACAAAAGGCTGTTGATGATTCCAAGATTTTGAAAACAGTTTTTCAAACTTCGTTTCATTATGTTGTATGTGTATACCGGTACATTGCAGAGTCAATAAACTTCAAATGCCGCATTATTAGTTTTTGCCCCACGCTGTCATATTGGTAAACTTCTGCTCTTTACTGATGAATTATTTTAGTAAACAATCTTATCTGTTAAGAGTAATATAACTGTAGTGATACAAATGCAGGCATGCAGACCGGACTACAGTGTTCAGCAGCTTCAAACTATACATAGCCTATTACACATTAAAATTTAGGGGGGGGGACATTACATTTACGTGAGCTTTGAATAAATTTCTATTAATTTCAAGGGTAATTTGAAACAGGTTCCTCTTCATCAGGAGCAAAAAATTGTTAAAGTGGGAAAAGGGCAAACAAAGTTTAGAGAAAATTCAAGGAAACAGCGTAACGCCTCTGTCGAATGCAATAGTAATGCAGCATGAAAGGCATTAGGCTATGGGAATATAGAAAGCATTGGAAATAATTGGCTTGGAATTAAGGTCTTTGACTGAAGAAGATAAGCTTCTGTAAAACGTTTCAAAAGGTCCAGTTTACCAGCTGAAGAATCTTTGCGAATAATTTTTGCAGAATGAAAGACAAAATTAAGTGACCAACTGTAATCAGCTGTCAATAATATTTTATTTCTCCTTTCCGTACATACAATTTGGATTCTTCAATTTGGTATTTTATACTGACTTTTTGTCTAATTTTAATGTCAGCATATTTTTCTTCCCATTATTATTTGCTTACTGCACGAATCATTGCTTAGCGATAATTTATGCTATTTATGTTAATAGACTAAGCAAACAGAGTGACGTTGTTTTAGTTTCT